AGTGGAATTTATTTGATGGTTTTATTATTCACCAATGATCTGAAATACAAAATGTAAAATCCGTCCCTACCTGACGCAACTAATAACAACAAACAACACAAAAAGGAAAATATACAACCCACTCAATAAAAAAGAAAAAAAAAAGGAACATACAACCCTTTCCCACCCCACCCTCCCATCCCACCCCCCCCTCTCCAACCCCATAACATAGCAAACCCAGTCAATCAACGCCCTTCACAGCTCCCACCCCAAAGACACTCACTCTTGCACGGTGTTCGCGGCCTCTTCCTGTCAGTGCCCCGGCAGTAACAGCTGGAGACGCCGTCCTCCGTCCTGCACACCTCGCTCAGCTGTTCCTGGCAGGTGCTGTCGTCGCCCACGATGCACGTGTCGATTCTGGGGCGGGGAGAGAGAGAGAGAGTGAGAGGGGGGGTCAGTGGGGGGGGGGGGGGGGCGTGGAGAGAGAGAGGAGTCAGTGGGGGGCGGTGGGAGAGAGAGGAGTCGGGGGGAGAGGGATCAGTGGGGGGCGGCGGGGAGAGATATGAATGAGTCAGTGATAGGGGGGGGGGAGTCAAGGGGGGGGCGGCGGGGAGAGATAGGAGTCAGGGGGGGGGATGAGGGGGGGGGGGAGAGATAGGAGTCGTGGGGGGGCGGGGAGAGATAGGATCAGTGGGGGGGGCCGGGGGGGGGGGGAGATAGGAGTCAGGGGGCGGGGGGCGGAGAGAGTGGAATCAGTGGGGGCGTGGGAGAGAGAGAGAAGAGTCAAGGGGAAGCGGCGAGTGGTGGGTGTTGGAGGTTGCATCGTAAGGGGGGGGGGCGAGACAGATGTGGTATGTTTGATAAGATTTTGTGTGAGAAGTATTAATCGTGCCAGATATGTAATTTAGATACTGCAATTAAGATATGGGTTCGCTTGCCATAATTCCAAGGCTGTATGGATGTGATACGGAGCGAAAAGTTTAATAAAAACAAATAGAAACTGGAACAGATAAAGAGAGAGATAGACGGACATCAGAAAAGACAATGCAAATGTAGAGAAACTATAATAAATATAATAATAATATGCTAAGGTGCGTCAATAATAGAATAAACATGAATATAATAATAATAAGATAAATTTGTTAATAATAGAATAAATACAAATACAATAATAATAAGGTAAATTTGTCAATAATAGAGGAAATATAGATATAATGACAAAAAGGTAAATATGTCAACAATAAAATAAATAAAACTATAACAATGATAAGCTAAGGTAATAATAGAATAAATATAAAAATGATAATAACAAGCTAAAATGTGTCACTAATAGAACAAACATAAATACAGTAAAAATGAAATAGAAAGTCAATGACATAATAAACATGAATATAAGAATAACAAGGTAAATACGTCAATAATATAATAAATATAAACATGATAATAAGGTAAGAGGTGCCAATAACAAGAGACAAAGAAACACAAATCTTTCCTCCGGGAGACTCACCTGATGGGTGGCTGAGTAGGCCTACGCGTATAGGCCTTCCTGGGAGGAGCAGGTTTGGGGCGCGTCGGTGCGGTGGGCGTGGTCGACGGGGGCGGTCTGTTGGGCGTCCCCGACGGGCGTGCGAGGGGGGCCGTCGGGCGCAGGAAGGGACTGTCGTTGCCCGTCGGAGGGAGGTCCTCCTCGGGCACGACGACGCCGACGCCCGTGCCGATGGTTTGCTGGGGGACGAGGGGGGGGGGGTTAGTGCGGTGGGGCGGGGCGAGGCAGCGGGCGGGCTGACACTCGGAGAGCGAGGCCTCCTCTTCGGATTCTCTGGATTCTGATGTGTTATCACTAGCACTCCCTGTCTCTTTCATTCATTCTCTTGCTCTCTCTCTCTTTTATTCATTTTCTCGCTCTCTCGCACTCTCTCTCTTTCATTCATTCTCTTGATCTCTCTTTCATTCTCTCTCTCTCTCTCTCTCTCTCTCTCGCACACATTTTCCTCTCTTTCTCTTTTCCAATCCCTCTGTCTCTCCAACCAGTTCCTTCGCTCTGGCTCTCCCTCTTCCCTTCCATCCTTCCCTCCATCCCTCTGCACTTCCATTCGTTTCCATCTCCCCTCTTGCCTCCCTCCCCTCCTCCCTCTTCCTTCTTCCCTCCATTCTCCCCCTCCCGCCCTCTCTCCTTCCTTCTTTCCCTCTCATTCCCCCCCCTGCCTTCCTTCTCTCCCCTCCTATTTCCCCTCCTCCCCTCCTTCCTTCTCTCCCCTCTCCCCTTCTCTCCTATTTCTCCTCCCTCCCTTCTTCCTTCCATCCCCCCCTCCTGCCTTCTCTCCTCCTTCCCTCCCACCCCCTTCTCTCCTCCTTCCCTCCATTCCCTCCCCTCTCCTTCCTTCCTCCTCCCCTCCCATCTCCCCTCTCTCCTCCTTCCCTCCCACTCCCCTCCCCCCTCTCCTCCTTCCCTCCTCCCCTTCTTACCTGCGTGAGTCCCTGAGCCTGAGTGGCCGTAGGAATGAGGTCGAAGTAGGTTTTCCTCCCGTCGATGGACACGAATCCGTCCTGTCCTCCCGCCGGTGTCGTAATGAGGCCATCTGTTGGGAAGAGCGGGAATCACCGGTGAGCAGAGGGCACGAGCCTAAAAACATTCCGGCGAAAATAGTAATAAAAGTGAGAATAACATGAATGTAAAAAGTATCACTAGCTTGAATATAAAAGTAATAATAAGGTAAAGATAATAGTATAAATAGCATGAATATAAAAGTAAAAATAAGGTAAAAATAATAGTATAAATAGCATTAATATAGATGTAATAATAAAGTAAAAATAATAATATAAATAACATGAATATAAAAGTAATAATAAGGTAAATATGATAGTAATAATCAGTTAAAGATAAAAAATATTAAGCTAAAAATGAAAGTAATAAAGAATGAGCTAAACCTATAGGTAATAACAATGTGAAAATAAAAGTGAAAATAATCTAAAAAATAAAAGTAATACTAAGCTTAAACTCAAAAGTAAGAATAAAAAATTAAAAGGGAGGCATATGAATAAATTCTAAAAAAGTGAAAATATTTCATAAACATTTGATCATTATTACATACACGCACACACGCAAACACACACACACACACACACGTATACATCCAACACACTAATCTGTTTCGTAGTAGGTTTTATTGCTTTGTGGCATTTGTTTATAACCCTCTTTAAAAAAATTCCCAGTGAACAATCCACAAATGATACAGCGCGTATGTGAGTTTGTTTGTTTGTGTGTATACAGTATCCATCTATCTATATCTATCTATTTTATTTCATCTATCTATATACACATTGGTGAACCGTATTCATGTGGCCAAATGTGGAAAGGTATGAATGAGAACGAATATCTTCACAATACACAATGTATCTTACCGGTTTCGATTATATCTTCGTCAGAAATAAATGTATTTCTGTTTGTTTGTGTTTGTGTTTGTGTGTTGTGTTGTGTGTGTGTGGTGTGTGTGTGTGTGTGTGTGTGTGTGTGTGTGTGTGTGTGTTGTGTGTGTGTGTGTGTGTGTGTGTGTGTGTGTGTGTGTGTGTGTGTGTGTGTGTGTGTGTGCGTGTGCGTTGTGTGCGTGTGACTGAGTGAGAGAGAGAGAGAACGGAAAGCCAGACAGTGTCGAGAACAATTAAAGAGAAGGGGCAAAAACGGAAGGAAAATATGAGCGCAGGTAGATAACGCGGAGAGCAACAATAACCAAACAGGAATACCCTTCTCCATCCTATCAAAGCTGGTCTTAATGCGTTTCTTCCACTC